ACACACACACACACACACACACACACACACCCTGACATCAAATGATTGTTCTCTTTGTTTTGCTGTTCTTTAAACAAGACATACACTTGACTTTTTAAGCATTTATCTTAACTGTCCTTCTCTCTCCCCCCCTCCCCCCCCACAAATGCCTGGAACACTCCCACTCCCTCCTCTCATCTTCACCTCCTGGCTTCCCTGGCTTTCTTCAAGTCTCAGTTAACATCCCATCTTTGGCAAACAAGCCTGGTTGCCTCCTGTCTTCACAAAATCGAGGCCATAATCATGAGTTCCTTTATTAAATAGGTAATCAAATATATGCCTTTGAATTCTAGAAGGAAAGAAAAAGCCAAGCATAAAAATTAATTTTCCTTTTACTATGAAAACTGAGTGCTAATTTTTAAGTTAGTAATTTTATATGCATGTGCCAATATATATAGTACTTTGTATTATGTATGTCCATCATTAGGTGGTAATTAGCTTGGTTGCCAGATATTTAATACGACTTTTTAAAATCATTATTTTTAAACCATCTTACCTTACCTTTAACCTTCTTCAGGTTTGAGTATGCACGTGACTCTCCAAATGAAAGAAAGCCACGAAGGCCTTCAGGAGCAAAAAATAAAGAGGTAAGAGTTATGAAAGCATAAGGTTTTTCTGTTTTGACATTCTAGGGATCTTCCAATAATTCTTCTGGGCTTTTCATGTCTAATTTTGCTCAGTCAGTGATGGGGTTGACAGTTTTAATTCTGCTGCTAACACTTAGAATTAATTCATGATTTTAACACTGACATTTATAGAAAGATTCAGACATAAATCGGATATTTTCTCGGCCATCTTTTTGAAGTCTGTGGTTGTTTCTTATAAGGTGGACCCTACTACTGATGCAAAAATAAGTTTGATAAAAACTCATGTAGAATATGATGCATGTTGTAAGCAATTAGAACAATGTATATGTACCTTGAGATTCGAAGAATTTTATAACAAAGTTATAACAGTTTATTTATTCATTAAAATATTGGGTGTTTAGCTTTATCATGGGAATTAACTTGATAAGGGGGCATGGGGATGGTATCTTTATAATAGTGGTATTGTCCTTATAGTCACAAAGTATATATAAACATTAATTGGCACCTGTACCAATTCATAGGTGATACCAACTCGATCCCGAAGTACCTCAGTTTTGGGCCCTGGTCAGTAACTGTTTCCTTGTTTATGTGTTTTTTTGGGGGGGGAGGGAGGGAAACAAACAGTAGAACCTTGTTCAGCAGTAGGTTAGAACTGAAACTAAATGAAGAAAAAAAAAGTAGATTAAATTCTAAGCAATACTTAACATTTTGGCCTGGAGCCAGATAATGGGGTTAGGGTAGGGGAAGGGAAGAGGGGGAAGGGGGTTAGAGGTTAGAGAGAGGCTTAGCTAATCTTGTTAGGATCATTTTATACAAGTATATGAGCTGAATTAACATACTTTAAAGCATAGAGTGTATATAGGGAAAGGGGTCGGGGGAGGGACAAGATTTGGTTTGGGAGAGAGGCAATAGTTTTGTAATGGGTTTTGTTTGTTGGTTTTTTAGTGAAGCTGCTTTATTTGCTGCTAGCCTAGGTGTGGAACTATGCAGGGTCCTCAACAGTGTGTACATGTTGTTTTCCTCTTGGAAAATGAAACATTTACTGAGAATTCATACTATTTATATAAATGTTGTATGTGCAATTGTGCTAACAAGTATATAAGAAGGACCTTCAATATAAATAGAAAATTAATTCTTAACTTAGGCTATTGTTATACAATAGAGTATACATGTTTTATATGAACCCATTTGGGGGAAACATGACTAAATTCCTAGGGGATAGAAAGAGGGAGGTTTTTTTGTTTTCAAAAATTCGTTTATAGACGGACTTAAAAAGAACAATAATTTGGGGGAGGTTTTTCGTTTTACTTTCAAGTATTCAATTACTAATTAATTGTTAGTAAAATTGACTAATTGCTAGTTCTAAAATATTCCAAGAAGATATTTTCACACCTTCTAGTGTTTGTTTGTTTTTTAATATAGGCACAGACCAGGTGTCTTTCAGAAATATCCCTACGAAACACACTAAAGAGAATATCATAACACCAGAGAAATCAAGAGGACGGGCCAGCGCCGCAGACAACATGTGGGAACCCCTTACCTTGGAAACCAAAGAACCGAAAGAAAGTGCCACAAACATCGCTGAGAAAGCCGCCCCCGCCCATCTGGCGGCTGAGGGCAGTGGGGGGGACCTGAGCCTTCCTTCAACTCCCCGGCTTCCGGGAAAGGGTGAGCAAAACCTGGACGGTTTCTCTCCTTTTAGTGACATTTTTGGTCTGGTCGAAGACGACTTCGATCCCCAGAGCCAACAGCTAGGTGATCTGGGGCCCTCAAGTCAAGTCACCGGGGATGATTGGGAGTGGGAAACGGAACTTTCCCACTCACCCCACTCCGAAACCTTGTGGGACAAGGCCATAGAGTGTGTCACGGTCTCTGACTGGTCCGACGATAACAGCAGCGCTGATGAAAAAGATTGGGAGGACCGCTTCTGGAGCAGCCCTTCTTTGATACGGTGGGCTCAGGGAGAAGACTCCCTGGTATTATTACTACAGGAGAGAGAAGAGCGTCTCGCTGACAATTTGGGGAGAAATACTAAGGGCGGCGGGAGAGAGGACAAGAGGAAGAGGCCGGCTCCTGGGAGGGCCCTGGTAGAAACCCACAACCAACCCTCCCTTCACACACTCCGGTCCCAAACCAAGAGGCCCGACATGCGCTTCTTAGGGAGTGATGGCCATGGCCGACTGCCCAGACTGAGGAGAGAGGCGGGGGTAGACTGTAAAGAGACGGGCGAATCTGTAGATTCGGCTAAAGGAAGCCCGAAGGGAAGGAAGAGTAGTGGTGGTAGCCAACTTAGTAATACAAAGCAAGCTTCAGATTCAAAACAAATAGGGAGTGACACTGAAGAAGAACTGGAAGCCTTCTCAGAAATGAAAGTGTCTCCAGACTCTGCATCTTTCGGACCTGTTTCTACAGATTCCGCAGCGGCCCCATCAACGTTTCTTCCAAAACTCTTCACAAAAGATGATCGTAAAACAAAGTTCTTGTCCGCCTCTGACAATGAAGCTGATGAGATAATTCGTTCTGTGTCACTTGATATCACTGAGTTTGATGTCAGTGATTTTGATGACTCATTGTCTACTTCGAGCTCCGAGAAGCAGGGTAAATCTTAATTTCTAAAGAGATTTTCCATTTCTGCCATTTGTGTGTAGTAGTCTGTGTAGTCTACATGTAAACATGTTTGTAAGATCCATTTAGTCTGGGTTCTTATTTTGTAGCCAAAGGGAGTTTTCCTGATGCTTGATCAGCTTGATCCTTCCCTCTCAATGTTATTGCCTGTGTCTCCTCAACAGATCCAGATAATGAAAAGTTAAATTTTTAGGGTCATTGATAACTGATAACCCATCCAAAGATGCCATCAGGAGGAGGACGCTGGAAAGGCAACACTTAATTTTTTTGCTCCCAAAGGCCCCTCGCCATCTTTTAACAGTGCTTTCCAGGAGTGATTCAGAGACGGATTCTAGGCAACACAGAATATCCTCTTGAGAAGGAGACTTTGAAAAGCTCCTTCACGTCCCAATTTGTCTCAAGCTATAATGTGTGTGTATTCATATCTTTTTGTTTTATTCAGTGTGTGGAGCTAAGTACATTAAACAAACATATATATATATATATAATGTGTATACAAATATATACTTTTTTCTTTTAAAGATGTTACTGAGAATGATGAATCATGTTTGAAAAAAAGAGTTACATTTGGAGCTTTTCTAGAACCTGAAATATTTGACGAAAATTCACCTCCCAATAAACCTCTTAAAAAAGGAGAAAGCCCAGAAGCGAAAAAAACGTCACTGGGAACCTCTCCTCCTTGGACTGGGCCACCAAAATCAATTATGAAGGTACAATATTTTAAACAAGCATTTAATCCATCCGTATTTTAAATTATGCGTTTCTCTATGATCCATACCCTAACTGCATTTTTAACAAGTAGTGGTATATATTATCCTATCTTCAAAAATGTGGAGAGAGTTCAGTTATTTATTGTTATGCTGGCTTCTCATACACTAGTGACTCAAGGTATTCCAGCATATACGGGGAGCATCAGGTCTTGATATAGAAGATGTGTGAACACACTCAAGTCGCCTGAGTTTCTCTAGGTCCGGTAGGGTTATTGCAGTGTTTAAAAAGAGGCTGAGACATAAAATCTCATTTAACATTTGCCATCATACATAGTATATGATTCACAAAATAGACAAAACCTTTTTTTGCCCATTATACACTCTGACTTAATCAGACCCTAAACTTGCAAGGCCTCAGAGCCTCAAAGAGGGATGACGTGTACCTTTTGTAGGGCCCTCAGACTCTAAACATGTTCTGCTTCTGCTTTGTACTGCCGTTGTTAGTCCCTAATAGTAATTAGGGGCAAGTAATATAGTCCTTATTTCCTGGGGTCATTGGGAAAAGAGAAAACTCTTTGCTAACCTGCCAAGTGCTGCTAGGTAAATAAAGGAATCCATTGCCAAGCAACACTACAAAAGGTATACCCCTGCAGTTTTGGTTGCTGCCACTGGGTGGTGGTAGATAGTTAATCTGAAGCACTGAGGTCTAGTCGTAATGGAAAACTCCGTTTGTGCTTTTCGAGCTGATGTCAGCTCGATGGTTGCATCTGCAGCAAACCAGTGAACTTGCCAGCATTCCTAACAAGTGGCCATACAGGCTTTGTTTGAAGACCTTGTCTACTTCCAATTGCCTTGGGGAAGCAATCCTTTCCACCTCTGGGGTAGCGTAGCTCTCATTGCTAGGAAGGCAAGGCCTAAACTAATGTGCTCCGGGACTGATGATGGCTGGCATCATTGCTATAAAGAGACATATGTGCGGCTATCATCCGGCTCACTGCTGACTGGCAGCTGGTGGGGACTTTGGTCTCCAAAGGGGTGCCATTGCAGAGATGGTCTCTGGAGGATTAGCCCTCAAAGGGTTGCTGTCAGACTCAAATGAAATGTCTGTCACAGGCTTTTGATGCACCTTGGGTATATTCAGTTATTTATTAGGGAACCATAATGGCAGATCTTGTCATTTATAAACTGTGTCAAAATGTCTATTTCAGCAGGCGCGTCCTAAACCACCAGAAAAAGAGCCTTCCAACAATCTAGTGCGAGGGATACTGCATACAGAAAACCTATCACAGGAGTTGCTGACCACTCTTAGTCTTAAGAAGATGTCTGCACCCTGCAGCAATGAGGTTACTGTGTCCCAGTCTCCGGACAAAAGAGTGAATTCCTTAGACCCCCACAAGATTGTGGGCACACCAGTGCTCCTGAGGAGATCCCTCTCTGGAAGAAGAAGCCAACATGATACCCTCCAAATGACGTATGCGAAAAGGAGAAGCATTGCATCCGAAGCCAGTCTCATGGGTATTTGAGCAGGAAATAATTTTAAGATGGTTTTTATAGGCAGGGGGCAGGCGGTCCCCTGGCTTCAAAGAGCTTAAGACATACAGTCTACCAACACAGGGAACAGATGTAGGAGGAACAGTAAGAAGGCCAGAATATGGCTGGGTCAGACGGTGCAGAGCTGTATGTGGGGTAGAGGTAAAAGGTGTGAATAAAACAAGGCTGGAAAAGTTAGTAATCCCATGGGAGTGATAGAAAGCTGCTTAGGGTTTATCAAGAATAACAGGAAGGAGTTGAGACGTGGGTCAAGACTTGTGTGCTGGGTTTAGCAAAAATCACTTTGGCAACTACTGTAGGAAAGAAATTAAAAGGAGGGAAAACAGGAGTTAGGCACTTGTTACAAATCAGTTTGCAGTGAGAGTGGAGGGGGTGGGGGGGGCTTTTAGATACAGTACGTGGTGGTATTTGTGAGTCAAGAGAAAAGAGGAGTTGATGTGATAGATGTGGAGACAAGAGATAAATGGCAAGATCTGACTGGATGTACCCAGCAAGAAAGTGGGGGAGAGAATGCCTTGAAGTTAGTTGGGTGACTAGAAACAGGGAAGATATCAGTGTTTAGAGATTTCTCTTTGTTGATTGTTTTATCCAAAAAATGTTAATTTATCTTCTGTTTGAATGAATTTATTTTTATTAATTGCTTGTTGCTTTTATTAACAGTTGTACACTCTTGGGCAGATGTGGTGAGATTAGGTACTAAAAAACCCCAAGCACACATTGTTATAAAACATGGTCTTGAGAGAAGAATAATAAAAAAGCAGAAGAGATTAACTCCCAAGGTCAAGGTACATTACAGAAATGTGGAGAGCATTTTTACATGTGTGTGTGTGTGTGCATGTTATACATATATATAATAATATATGTGTGTATATATGGACATGTGTATATATATATATACACACATATATATATCATCATATGTATTACACGTTTACACTTGTGTACTTATGACTATCACCTGAGCAAACATTAAGAAATACTGAATTTATTTTTGGGAATGTTTCTTTTTACTTTACAGAAGAAGCCTGCAAACCACGCTCAGAATCCCTTTAGCACAGGCCACGCAAACTCTCCCTGCACCATAGTGATTGGGAGAGCTCACACTGAATAAGTGACTGCGCCTACACGGCCCCGTAGGATGCTGAACAACTTTGTTGTAAACCCTAAGATGGATATGAATGAGGATTTCACAGGTGAAAAAGTGTTCACAGGCGGCCATGAGAAGGTCATGTGGGCTGCCTGCACGATTTTAAAAGAGCTGATAGAAACGCTCCCCAGCTCCTGCAGAAGGGGGAGCACACATTTGTTGGAGGTCCTGACCAGTTGTTGTAATCGGATCTAGTGGGATGACCTCTCTTTTCAGCTCCAAACAAACCAGCCCCATGATAGCTCTCAGTTGGCATGGTTAAGCCTCTGGGCAGGGCTCGGTTGTATCCTGTTGTATCTGGTCGGGGAAGGATAAAGGCAGGTGTGACTCGGTAGAACAAGAGAAGCAGACAGACTGGCTTAAACGCCGGTGGAGCAGAGCTGAAAGCCAGTGGAAGGGAGCAGGAAAGGAGATTTGAGTTTGCAGCCTGGACTTTGAGAAGAAATCTTTACTCAGGCTGAGCTGAGGGAGTCTGTTGCATTGTTTGAAGTGGGAATGAGAGCCAGGACTTTGCATCTAGATTGATTGGGTGCCCTGGACTTTGAGAAGAGATCTCGTGAACAGCATGGAGGGGACTCTGTAGCATTGTTTTCTTTTTGGAAGAGGGTGGAATAGGACTTTTTTACATTTTTCAAAAAAATATGTATCTGTAATATACACAGTCTATACACATATATTAGATTCTATGTGTTCATCACATACATTAATGTTACTTATTTTCTTCATTAATAGGATTAGCAGACATGTTTGAAATACCTACGGACACTCCAAATGGGTCTCCTAACGACTCTTCAGAATGTTTGTCACGTGATGACTTTAGTGGTTGGTTTTCCTTTTTTTCTTCTTCCGTGAAACTTGGGAATGGCAAGTTACGCTTTGTATTTGTAGCCCCACGTCAAATACAAGCCTTCTCCATGCCAGAGTTGCTATAGCTAACCTTCAACCCAAAGAGCTGGGCCCTCACTGAATCACAATTACATGACCCATCCGTGTAGAATTTTTACTTTCTGACGAATAAGGAGAGCTAACATCAAAATGTGCATTCTTGTGATATGATAATTTAAACATTTCTTATAAGTTATATTTAGCAACTATACAAAGAATCTTTGACTCTTCAATCTCACCCCAGTCCCATCTAATCAACTGCAAGTCTTGTCGGTTCTCTCTCCAAGAATAAAGGGATTTATCCCTTTATTTCTACTGATGTGGCCAACACTCTACTTTTAGGCCCTAATTGCCTCTAGCCCTTAACTGTTAAAATAGCTTCCTAATTGACCTCCTCTCCACAATCCTTCCCTTCACACAGTTTTCAAAGTTATTTTCCTAAAGTGCAGATCTAACCCGGAGTAATTAGTATGCTTCAAGAATCTTTAGTTGGCTTCCTCATCCTTTAGGATTAAACGCAAACTCCCAAAACCCACTTTATTTCATATTGCTCCCCTTCATGTACTCTGTATTCCAACCAAACTAACCGTAACTTAAAGTGATGTATGTCTGTATGTTATATTTACACGTAATGCAACATAACCGTACATATGTTTTTACCTGGACAGGCACAGATTTGCATCATCTTATTAAATATTAATATCATTGGCCAGGAAAACACAAGGCTCCAAAACAGTTGGGGGGGTAGACCTTTAATTCGTAAAGAAGAATGTCTCTAGATTGGGGAGGGGGAGGCACAGTCTTTGTTTCATAATTGTCTTTATTCTGTCATTTGTTACAGCAGGGAGATTGACAGCAAAACAGCTACATGGTCAGAGCATTCTAGGCCCGAGGAGCCGACAATTGTGGGTAGAAGCCAATAACATTGTTCAAACATTGGAAGAAGTTTCTGAAATTAGAAGTGATGAAATAATGAAGATTCCACTTCGAGATGTCGATGTAGACCACGAAATATTAACACCAGGTTCAAAAAAGGGGAAGACTTGTCTACCAAAGGACTATGTATCAACATCATATCTTAGCAGAATTAAAACTCCACCACCAGATCAAAAAGTTACAGATATGGAAGAAAAATTTGGAAATGAAAACACAAACAAGGTGACATTGGCAGAACAGCGCCCAGTAATAACACCAGCTACAGCTACACATATAACATCGAATTTGTGGGCCAACACTTTTAACATCAAAGGAGCTACTCCTAAGACTCTTGCAGAAGAGTATTATAAAAAAGAAAATGCAGTTGACATAGACCTACAAAATCAAAAATCAAAATTGTCAGGTCAGTTAGGAGTCACAAGTTCCTTAAAGATAAGATCCAATAGAGAGCCCCCCGTCACTGACCGATCAGCAGGCCAAAAACCTGAACAGTCTACCCAAACAGAAATTTGCAGGGTGGGCCTAAAGTCAGGTATCGTATTGCTGAACACGCAGACTGCTCTAGGAGGTGGACCACTGAATGACCCCAAGGAGCGAGGAGGCTTGAAGAAAGTAATAACCCCAAAGGGAAAAACAAAAATATCAGAAGACTTACTTGGCAGCAGAGTGCCTATGACAACTCGAACATCAGTGGTGGCAGAATTGAAAGAAGACGGAGAAAGCAAAGCGGCAGATTCTGTTGGGGATGATGCAGATTTTGTTCAGGAAAATCTTAGGACGACCCCAAAGCAAGTCCATGCTGAAGTCCCAAAGAAGCTTCTGAGGACAGTAGAGCAGCAGACTCCGAAGTGGAAATGTGACTCCGTGGAGCCGCTGACACCAGCGGTCAAGATACTGTTGGGAATGCTGGAGGACAAGGCGAAAGCAGGAGAGGAGCGGGTGGCTGCTGCCAAGCAAGTGGTGGAACCAGTCAAAGACAGGAGCAAGGCCCTCCTCATGGAGCTGGACCAAAAACATGAATCAGTAGGATATCTGCCTGGGATCAGGAGACTGATAACAACTCCAAAGGGAAAGGAGGAGCCTGTAATAGAAGATGTGAAAGTTAGTAAGAAGCCTGTCAAAACATCAAGGCAAAAATGTGACATAGAAGAATGCCCAATGAGTTTCAGGAGATTTCATGAAATTCCCAAGGTGGAACCAATAGGAAGAAAGCATGGCTTCCTAGGGAAACTGAGAAGAAAATCAGGGGAAGTAAAAAACCTAACGGGTATGAGAGTTCCTAGGGAAAAGCCAAAACTATTAGAAAACTTAACAGGTGTCAGAAGATTTTTTAAAACTGCACGTGTGAAACCTGCAGAACATCTAACGAGCATGGAAAAGATGGATATGACATCTAAAGAAAAAGAGTCAGTGGAAGATCTCACTGTCATCAAAAAATTAAGAAGCCCAAAGAAAACAAAGGGGCAATCGATGGAAGATCTAATAGGTTCAAAAAAATTAATGAAAACCCCCAAACCAAAGGTAGAGCCACTCAACGATATCACTGGCATTTGTTTTTTGTTTTTTTTTTTTGTTTTCTCATTGGAGGTGAAATCTGGATGATTGTTATTATTATTAGTTCAGGGCTGCAGTAGGGAGGAAATTACAATGATGGGAAATTGGTTACCTTTATAGGTGCCTTTCATTATATACATAAGGACTCTCATAATGCTTTTGGGCATCAATTTGGGTATTTCTCCAATGTGGAAGGCAATTTTTCCTCATCTTGTTTTGATCACAAGAGTTTTCTTGAAGTAGAAACTGGTATAATCAATTTTTACTGTAGTAAGTAAGGTATCATGTATGTATATCAAAGAGAAGTCTTTGTAAGAACAAGACTATAAAATTCTATCCTTTGAATAGCAATGATTCATGTGAGCATAGTATTAAATGTAGCATCTTTAAAAATTCTAAGGTATAAATGATATTTGAAAATAAATCAAAATTATATTTCACTAAGTTAGCAAGTTTGTCTTGTGAATTCTCAAAAAAAATTAGATTTGCTAGAGTTTTGAAAATGTATGAACATTTTCTAATCCTTTTAGGACCAATCAGTGAATCAACGGCAAAAGAAAATTTGCTGTAGGTCTTCTGAAGAAGCTGGTAAGTAAAAATATTTATATTTTATATTCAATAGGTTTGAGTAAAGTTGGTGGAACCTTTTGGAATTGATATAAGACTAAGGAATATTTTCAGAGAATGGACAATTTTATCTCCTTAGCATATGTCTCAGACCTCTCCTCACACTGTGTTTATTTTTTGGAGGGGTGGGGAATAAATGATAGGTGATACAAGTGTAGCTAGAACTTTAAAACTAAATCAGAAGCTCATTTTGATAAAAAGAAATATCTCTAATATCCTGTTGAAAAATAACAAAAACTAGACTAAAAATATATGAATAATAATTGGTAAATAAGACTTGGTCCAAAAGATTAAGTAATTAAGCTTTTCTCTTAGAGAGAAAAAGAAGGATCTCTTGGTTTTTAAAAGGAAATACACCTAGACAAAGCCTGATTAGAAACCCTCAGGTAAATGAAAAATGTAAAACCCCTGATCTATAATAGATCCTTAGACTGAACATTTGATCTAGGGTTTTGTTTTTTGTGTTTTTAAAACCATGGTTGACTATCTATGCGCTGATCAGATGTCTAGCTTTGTGTAATTAAATTTTTTTGATATCTGTTTTTCATTTCAGAAAATACATCTAATATCTCTAAAATTGAAGGGTTATACTCAGTGAACGTGGAAGATCACATTATGATGGATCAAGAAGTTCTGTCTTTACCTAATGAAAGAAACAAAATTAGTCGTATTCTTCAAGAATGTGATGAATTACCTAATGAAACAAAAAGTATAATCACAGAGAAAGAAGCAGAGGATTTTCTGCCGAGTTTTCCAGATGAAAAGAATGCTTTTGTCCTCAATGATGATGGTCAAATAATGGTGTCTGTAAGATCTAAAGCCAAAGACAAAAGTGTAGAATCGCTTGATGAAAAGATTGTGGTGACCTCCTGGGAGAAAAATGTGAAGGAGAGGATTGTGCGGCCAAAAGCCCGGAGCTTGTCACCCTGGCACAAAGGAGAAAGGAGGGAGCCTGTGAAGGGGAGGACCAGAATGTTTAGGGACGTGGCCAACAAGGTAGATGTCAGGGTACCTTTGATTCCTATCAAAAGAGACCAAGCAGCTAAAAAAACAAGAGCAAGCTCAGCACTTGCGGATGCAGGGACGGGGCTAATGTTAACGTCTAGAAATGAAAACAGAGACCCACCCAGTGAATCAAAGGTGTCACCAACACATGACAAAAAGGAACTTGGTAGGAGACCGCCCGGGAAAAGGAATGAAAACTTAGGGGCTTTAAAAGCACAAGGTTTTGATCCCTTGGTGGGGAAAAATTACAGATTAGCAATCGAGAAGAATGAAAAGAAAGGGTTTTTGATGGCGTTGCGGCCTGATGATACAATTAAAAATGATGAGAAATTGAAAGATAGTGATATCGCTCCCGAAATAGTTTCATCCCCCGCAGAGGAAAATGAGAAAAACCCAATAAAGGTCTTGAAAGAGCAAAAACTAGAAAAAAGAGCTACGGACAAAGCAATAGTGGCATTGCGATCTAAAAATAAACAGAATAAAATATTTCCTGATGAATCAGATAATAAAATATACCCAGATGTTAAAAAGAAGTCTTTGCAGATTTGGCCAGAGTCTTTCATGGGAGGCGTCAAAGGCCAAACTCTGGTGTTGCACCCGAGAATTAGAAATAAAACTATTAAGGAATTGAACTTCAGTTTATCGAGTGAAAGAGATGAAGCACAGACAGCAAGCGATGGAAGAGGTGAGAACAGCTACCCAGGAAACCCGGCCATGGTTGAACGAAGAATATCAGTAAGAAAGAGAGCTACAACTCATAAGGAAAATCAGTCAAATTTAAGAGACAGATCCGACACAGACAACAAACAAAAGTTACCTGCTATGGAATCTTTAAGATCGAGCAATATCGTGAAGTCTGCTAAGGAATCACACGAGGTTAATTTAGAGCGTAAGACAGAGGGCGACAAGAAGAAACTTATGAAACAGCCCCCAGAGAGTTTTAGAGGCGCAAGTCCAAATATAGGAATGGCAGCTTTAAAATTTAAAGACAAAAATGAGGTAGAGGACAAATCCCAAGGGTCTAACAATACGTGGTCTAGAGAAACAAAGAGATCGCACAGGAGCTTCCCCGAGAAGCTTTTGTCATTAATATCTAGAAATAAGGTCGGTGGCAAAACAGAAAAACAATAGTGTCTAGGGAAGAGTCTCCAGGAGAAGAAACCGAAACAGAACTCAGTGAGTAAGGGCCATATGGCACTGTGATCTCAAGGTAAAAGCACTAGATTACTTCCTGCTGCCGGGGTTGTACCTGAGATACGTCTAAAACAAGTGAAAGGAGGGAGGAATTGAAAGGACACAAGTGGATTAAGACGTAGCCTTAACAATAAAAAGGATACAGGACTGAAAGGAGCCAACCCTATATCACCGTCCAAAGCAGACATGGAAGAGAAATACCCAGGTATATACCAATCTTTACCTTATTCTGTGCTGATAACACATATATGGTCAACTTTTCCAGAACAGATGAAACAGATCTTGTCTGTCTTAGGGCGGAGGAGTGCCTAAGCTTTGGAATATGTTGAGCTCTCTCCCTAACAAAGCAAAAATTTTAAATGAGCACTGCAGGGCAGGGTAGGTAACCAAGTTTGCTTTTAGTTCTGTTATTCTGAAACAAAAGCGTAAAGCATCCCTTTGTTATGATGGTAAAACCCTGATTCTTTTCAAGGTACAGTGTAATGTCTTGTTTATCCAAGTAGTATCAGATTTGGATAATATAAGCTAAATTTAGGGATAACCGAACCCTCATTCTGCCCTTTAAGCACTAGCTTTTTTTTTTTTTAACCACTTTAGATAGAAACCTTCCTAAAATCTATTACACACTTCTCTGCTTTCTAAAGCCAAGTATTCAAAATGTAATTTAACCTTTTCTTGATAAGTAGTAGTCATCATTATGAACATCAATTACTATGCTGTAATATAATGGTATTTGCAGACCCACAATCATCCCAGACTCTTTATTGTCATCTTATACATTTTTCTTATCGTTATTTGCTTTCCTTCTCCCCTTTTCCCCCTCCCCCAACCTCCTTGGCAGCTATAGAAAACTATGTAACTAACCTGTTACAATTGTGTGTAAAGTAAGAGCAAACTATCTGGTCCCTCTCTCTTGCACCTGTTCTAAAGAGTTGAAGGCCCCAGATCAATGGGATTTTTTTTTGCCCTAACCTATTTACATTTTAAAGCACCTATCCTGAAAGCCTTAATAAGCATCAGTTAACTTTAATTTATATTTACAATTCCCCAGGTATTCAAAAGGAACTTCCTTACCTTATTATTTAAATATCCCAAGAACTTGTTGTTGTTGTAAGAATAGTTAGGAATTTTCGTGGACTGTTCCATAATCTTTCTGTGTGGGTATTTCTTCTACTGATTCTATTACAGTCACATCATTACTTAATTGAGGGAGGGCAGCTTATCTTGTGGTATGATCCTGGCACTTTGTTTGGCTGGTCCCCAGGCCACCTCCACACACTGTAAGTCCTTCACTGGGTCTAGATCCAGAACCTTTGAATTGGGTGAAACCTGGCCCAGTTTGTGGCATGGAGATGACTTTCTAGAGTCCTCTGGTCACTGTGGGAGGATTAAAGCAGAGGGAAACCAGACTCTTCAATTGGCCTAATATTAGATTATAGCACATTTGTCAGAATTAAGAATTCAAATGAATGTTGCATTATCTTGAATTTCATAATATGAATTTTAACATTCTGTGCATGTTAACTTGTGTCTATGTTTTATCCATTTTGACCCAGTGTAGGACTTTTCAGTTGAAAGCCAATTTTTTTTTTAATTTAGCGTTTCATTCAGCCATTTCAAAAATGATATGAAGTTATGTAAGTCCATATATCAACAGACTGAGAGGTTTACCCCAGTATAGCTCGTAATTGATTATGTTAAATAAAATGTTTAAGTTAACTTGTGATTTGTCTTGCAGATCTTTCCTTTTTTATTCATTGATTTTAAAAAGAAAAATATTAAACCTAAACTGAACAGGTTCTCTTTTAGAATTTTTGTGGAAAAGAAGCCTAGCATATGGGATCTAATAGGAAATTGGGTTTCAGGTACTGTGGTTAGATAATGGGATACTGCTCTAACGTTTCCAAATAACTTTGTAATTGGAAATGCCATTACATCTATCTGCTGTTAATACATATGTATACAAGATAAAATATTTATTATGTCTATCTTGTGTTTTTTGTTCTAAAGTACTACGTGACAGAAGAATCCGAAAAGCTTACAAGAAATGAAGACAAGTAAAAGTTAATGTTCATCTTCCAAAAGTAAAATGTAATTAATAATAAAAAAATAAAATTAAAATATAATTTTAAGACAATTATTTACCCTGCCTACCAAGAAGATAGAATTGCTCTAGAATTGAAAAATAAACAAGAATAGAACAAGTATTTAGTGAAGTAAAACTATGTAGATGGTGTAGAATAGTTTCACTGATTGTCACAAAATTTCAAGTTATTTTGTAAATAGGGCAATGAATGACAATGTGCCAGGCAATGATTTCTTTATGTGTATTTCATTAAATTAATTTTGCCAAGCTAGTTTTTGTGTTTATGGCAAGATAAAGGTTTGGTTTTTGTTAGATTTTTTGTTTTGTTTTGTTTTTTTTAGCAAATGTAAACTTTTTTTCATTAAATGTTTTTCTTCATAACCTAAAAACTTTCTGTGTGAATTCATTGAATTTACTTACTCATGGTTTTGTGGTAAATAAATTATACACAGAATGTATACACATGTATTTTTATGGCAGTTCCAACTTTTCTCCACCCCTTGCAATGATTATTTTCTGAAGTGTAATCCATCTTATCTTGTTTCATTTGTTTTCTCTCCACCACAACTGCAAAAACTGTTGGAAAAAAAAAAGCGTTTTTTTTTTTTTTCAAACACTGGCTTTTTCAGATTTCTCTGTATTAAGTTTTGTTTAGACAATGTCCAATTTTGAAAATTCTAGAATGTGGACAACATGTGGGCCTGCCATTTGAAACTCAGAGATTTGAACTTGTTCTAACACTTTCAAGGCCTAACGTGAAGCGGTGATAATTTACAGAGGGATTCATTTGGCCATTGGATATTTGAAGGCTTAACATAACAGTATTCATAAACAAAAACTGCTTTGGGA